GGGTTGTTTGGGTTTTTTAATAATATATTGTTGAAATCTATTCTTACTAGGAAAATATTTACAAAACTCCAACAAAATAAATATGTAGCTTCTACTAGGGAAAATAATTTCTCATAAGACTCTACTGCATGTTAATTTGAAGCCAGGCATTGGTATAGTTGAAGATCTGAGATTTAAAGATATCTGTGTTTGGCTGATTTCAGTTAATAACCTTCCCATCAACCTTCTAAGTAATCCAGTCCAGAAACTGCACATTAGTTTATGATTGATGTTCCTTTGTGTTGTTCACTATGACTTTGTCTGACTTTTCTGGATGACTTTATGTAGCATGATGAAGAATGAAGCTTAGCTCATTTCAGTGTATCAAGAAAATAGTCCTAGAAGATGGGGGGAAAAAAACAAAACAACAAACCAAACAAAACAACATAAAGAAATTATAATTGGGCTTTTTTGTTTGAAAAAGAGTAGAAAAAAACAGTGTGCATTTACTGCTATTTGGAAGAACTGCTCTTTTGTTATTGAGCAAATATTTTGAATACAATGATTAAGAGATTGCAGTGCTGAATTTGAGGTAGAGGTGCATTTAAACCTGCTTTGAGATTAGCTTTTACAGCAAACAACTGTGTGATTACTTTTTTGCTGAAGTTCCAAATTATAGCTATCTGTATTGATAAAACTGATACTGTGGGCATATTCACAAATTGCTATGCCTTGGGTAGTTCTTATTTAGTCTCCTGCCACTACATTAATTTATTATAGAGTTTTATGTATGTTTAAAACAGGATAATATTTTTAATTGCTTTTGTTAGAAAATTCACATTCGTGGTAAATGAAATATTTTTTCAATCCTCGTATTCCGTGAAATGTATTAAATACTGTACAAAATATCCCTATGAGGAGAATCTCAAATTTTATTGATTACTTTATTTTTGTTATTTTTTTGTATGATGACTAGCCACTAACTCTTAGGGTTCAGCTAATCAAGCTAATTGTATGCTTTCAGAGCATATAAAGAGGGGGAAGTATGTGTTTAACCCCAATTCTGTATTGAGATGAGACCTACGTACACATCAAAAACCTTGCCCCAGGGAATTTGAGCAGAAGGGAGGGACAAAGAGGGAAGGTGGTCAGTGACTGAAGGTTGAGACGCAGAGTACTGCACTAGTGGGTTTAAATAAAGTCTGAGAAACCCTTGGAAATCTGTGCAGTCTTGTCTCCTGTGCTCCTATAATTTATATTCGTGTTTGGTTTTCTTGTGACGATCTGCAACCTGGACAAATGGGTCAAAAGTACTTGAAATCACATAAGAGTTTGCTGTTCTACCCTGGAGCAAAGCGGACTTCTAAGCCACGCTTCTCATTTCTCTAGCAAGTACAGAATTAGTATAGAGCTACTGGCATACTCATCTGCTCAAGTTGAAAAAGTGCTAACTGCAGGTCCTGGAAACCATCAGATTATCCCTGAACACCTGATTCATGGACTATTTAAGCATCTCGAAATATGGTTTGGAGCATAGATTTATATCGAGTACTAGCAGTGTTTCTAGTAGATGCACATCCCTGTTAACTTCAATCTGCGTTTACTTTGAAGACCATAAAATGTCTCATGAACCTCAAATTATTCTCCTCTGCCAATAAAGATGTCATGTATGGTTGTATGTGATTTTAGATCTTCTTTGACTTTGTGTGTTTTGTTGCCAGAAGTTACCATTTTAAACTGAATATTTTGATTTGGATTTGTTGTTTCTGTTGTTTGTGTGTGTGATACTTCTAACTAGAAAGCTTTTGCAAGCAAGTTTGTACACATTTTTTTAACACTTGAAACAGTAAAAAAAAAAAAAGGAAAAAATACAACACTATTAGTGATAATAAATAAAGACATGACAAGTACATTTCTTCCTGTAGACCCAGTATGTTAATGTGTATTAATTAGCTGACTGGATACATATAGATGTGCATCAAACTGGTTTTGGTATAATATCTAAAAACATTCTAAAATTCATACAGTTTTATAGTTTAACCAGAATATTGAATGAGTGGATTTAATACCCACAAAACTAACTTGTGTTGGTATTTCCTTATTTCCTAGATAAGGAATCAGATAGCAAATTCCGTTCCAGGTCAATAATGAATGTTTCCCTTTATCTGTCCTTTCACTCTATTCAATTTGATCCAAAGACACACTGTAATTAGTATGGATAAATATTATTAAGTCACATTTTTAATAGCTGTATCTCTAGTATGTGTATCAATTGAGAATTTCCACTTTCCTTCATGTTGTAATTTTTCTTTCTCTCCATACTGATAATGTGTTCATTTTTGTTTATTTGTCATTCCCATTTTTTTTTTCTTGTATTGTTTCATCTTTTTTTCATTTGTTGTTTGCCCAGACAAATTTTTTCCCTATCCATTTTTCATCATCTGGATCACTGTCTTTCTTTCCATCTTGTCAATTTTCTCAATGCTTTATTCTACATTTCTTTTTCTTATAATGTTATTACAAACTCCTGCAACATGAGTATCAAGGGAATAGGATGTGTTGCTCCTCCCAGAGCACAGGTTAAATCCTCAGTTGGGTATAACTGGAAAATCTGCTCTGTGCTGCATGGTCAGAAAAGTGTACCCAAGTCTGGATGGGGGAGAGCATGAGTAAACAGTACCCAAAATCAATTGCCTGCTGCTGACTTCTGTTGTTAAAGTCGATACCAGAAATCAGAAGGGAAGACAGTGCTTAGGGAGGAATTTCAGATAATCGATAGCCGGCTGACCAATCTGAGTGCCAGGGACCAGCAAGCCGGGCTGCCCCATAGGGGAGGATGAGCCAGGAGCTGTGGGCACTGCAGAGTTGGCAGGGCATCAGCTCTTGCTGATGGGAAATCCTCCAAAAGGACCCCTTTGAGGCTGGGATGGGGACAGGGACAGGACCCTGCTACCACCCAACAATCATTAGACTAGGTAGGGTGAGGAGTCAGGTCCAAGATCAACTGGGGGACCCAGTCAGGGCAAGATCCATTCTGGGCATGGGTCTGGGCATGGGGCTTCCGGCAGTGTAGCTCCAGCAAGGGCTGATGGCCCTGGGGTTCCCTCAGGGACATGGCCCTTAGAGCTGCTACTGATTCATCCTTCAGAAATTATGCTTAAATTGCAAGTCCTTCGGAGGCAGCATCTGAGCCTATTATCTACCAGTGAAAATGTCAATAGAAATTTTGGTTTGCCATAAATAATATGTATCTGATATTTTTCTGACCTCTGGTGTTCAAGTGTTTTGAAAGTGTTACAGTACGAGTGCTAAAATGAAGTCATTGAAGAATTCCAGGGGTTTTGAGAAAATGAAATATCTTTCTTTCAAATGCCTTTCCTTGTCTAAAAGAATCAGCATAAATGTCTCCTGTAGTTATTTTTCGGTTGTTTGGGGGTTTTCTGTGGGTTTATTTTGGTTGGTTTTTTTTTCGTAATTGAAAAATCACTGTCACTACCTACCTTATATTTTTCTGCTCTTGGAAACTGATTTTATATCTTCATGAGACAGAGTCCTGACTGAAAACAGGATCTTGTAGTCCACATATATAAATGAGTGTTCATTCTATCAAATGTAAAATATCAGTATCAGTTTCCAATAACAAGGATTTTTTTAGCTGTGGAATTGTTATCTGTGGTTTTGAGTTGAATAATGGGTAACAAGAAACGCCTTCATTTCTCTGGGAAGGGAGAAGAATGTGAGTATTAGCGAGTGCTGTGTGGTTTCTTATTCTACTTGTAATGGTTAGCATATATATATGTGATTTGTATTTCATTAAAAATTAACAGAATTATTGTATGAATTTCCTTCTGTCTAAAAATTAAAAGTAGGAACATGTGATAATGTAATGTTACATAGTTGAAACACTATGTAGGTCAAAATCTGACTTGAGAGATTTTATCACAGTTGGGTTTTTTTTCTTTGTAGTTTCCATTGTTCCTTTTTGTCAGACATAGAATTAAAAAAAAAAAAAAAAGACATGAAAACCAATAACTTTGTATCTAATTTAGACTTTAGACTAACTATTCTAGCACTTGATTTGAACTAACGTAATGCTATTAAATTAATTGGAATTTCTGAATTAGATAGAGGTAAATTAGGTTGTCATACAGAATAGTAGGCATACTTGTGAAAAATACTGTATAGAAGTCATGTCATAACAAAGAGAGATTATCCAACGCAGCAGAACATTTAATGAATGTTTCCTGTGGGAGTGTAAATATGCTTAAAAAGGAGATGCTGTTTATTTAGGGCAGAAAATACCCTGCAGCTAGCACTTGAACGTGATACCCTTCCTGAAAGCAGCAATGTTTGGGCTGTACTTTCATTTGGAAGCAAATACAGAAGCAGAAATGTTTAGTTTGCAGTATCACATCTGACAAGCTTGTGGCTTCAATTTTCAGCTCTCTTACCTTATGTAACTTTGGAAACACATAGCTAACCATGGTGCCTAAAGTTCATAAAACATTTATGGGCCTTGTCGTGCAGGTAGTGTGTCAATTTAATTGTTTGGGGGGGTTTGTTTTTTTGTTTGTTGGGTTTTTTTTTATCAGATTTATGCCAATATGAATGTGTATGTTGATTTGAATTGTTTTCTCTTTGCCACAGGCTGACTGAGTGGGCTGGACTTCACTGGAAGGAGACATTTCACTGGGGAAGTGGAATAACTGTGGATCTCTTCCTACGCTGCTTGCTGGGAAGTGCTGTGCGTGGCCAGGATTAAGCCAACACTGAAATCTGGGATGGGCATTAGGGGCAAACATTCCCTTGTTTCTTCTGACGCTGGGATTTGTCTGCAGCCGGTCAGCTGAGGCACCTACCACACACCAGCTTTTGGTTTTCCACTTCCTGAACAAAGTTACATTTTCCCTCACTTCATCTCCTTTTGACTACTTTTTTATTTTATTAGTTTTCGTTTTCCTTGACTGGTTGATTTTCTCCTGGCTGTGGAAAAAAGAGCCCTGCTGATGTTGATTTAAATAATGTCGAAACCAATGGGACTCCTATGGCTGCCTTTGATCTTCACCCCAGTGTGTGTCATGTTGAATTCTAACTTCCTCCTGTGGATAACTGCACTGGCTATAAGATTTACTCTCATCGATGGCCAAGCACAATACCCAGTTGTTACCACAAATTATGGCAAAATACGTGGTTTAAGAACACCTTTGCCTAATGAGATCCTTGGTCCAGTGGAGCAGTACCTGGGTGTTCCTTATGCCTCTCCTCCAACTGGAGAAAGGCGATTTCAGCCCCCAGAGCCACCATCATCTTGGACGGGCATCCGCAACGCCACACAGTTTGCTGCTGTGTGCCCGCAGTACCTGGATGAGAGGTCTCTGCTCAACGACATGCTACCAGTCTGGTTTACAGCCAATCTGGATACTGTGGTGACATATGTTCAAGATCAGAATGAAGACTGTCTGTATTTGAACATCTATGTGCCCACAGAGGATGGTAAGTACTCTAAGGACCACACTGCAGGCAGTGCATTCACCAGTTCTGCACATGAGTAGCAGCCAGGTCTTCAAAGCATCTTGCTCAGTTTCCTCTATGTTCTGTCTGTGGAAATGGATCATGCCTCTGAACATGCATTATAAGTAATACTGTGTAGATTGAACCTGCTTGCATGAATTCTGCCTCATGTTTCAGTGTAACACCAGACCACAGTTTAATTTGCAGGCAGTGACCAGTGTGTGTAATCCAGCCTTAAGTTTGTATCTGAACTACAGCTCAGCATCATTCATAAGAGAGGAAATGCAAAATAGACATTAAACAGAAGTAACATATTTATTTTCTCATGCATGAATGGTAAAAATACTGCCACACACTGATTTTTAAAGAATTTCCCTGTTTTAGTTTTATTCTAATACCTCTGAGCCTACTATTAACTCTGCTTGATTTTAACAGATAAGAGAAAATTGTTATAGTAGTTCAGTCTGCAGTTTTTTCCAGGATTTTTACCTGTGAAACTTTTCAGTCCAACTTATTTCTTTTCATTCACTAAATTTGAAAAGAAGGAAATATGATTTTATTATGTAGAACTGAACAGGTGGCCCTAAACTTTCATCTGTTTACTGCAATCTTTTCTGAAGAGGGCTGCTTTAAACCACTTTCTATAGACAAAAAGGATGAAAAAATTGATAACACACAACTCTGAACATTTTAATGATCTCAAACTTAAAAACTCTAGCTTTATGGCATACTGAATCTATCTTTTGTCATTCTGAATGGTACTAACTTCCTACAGACAAGAAGACCTGTTTTCATCAGGCCCCAAATGAGTTAAGTTTATTCTATATCACAAGGAAATAAAAGTATTCCACTGTCAATTATATTTAATGTTCTTCTAAAAGCTAGTTCTTTCAGCCACTTAGAATGTAGTTACTGATGCATAACTTGAAAGATTTCTCCCAGATATGCAAATCCCTTCACTTTAGCTGAGGGTTTGATTTGCATAACCAAGGCATTGTTATTTCTCAGTAACCATACTCTAAATATGCAAATTTTGTACTTTGATTATTACAGTCCTTTGGCCTTGATTGGCTTCTTTACTCAGAATTTCCAAGCTGTTTGCCAGCAATAAGCATACCACCTTCTTTTCCTGTTACCATCAGCTGAAGCAAAAATTTGAAATCTAAAAATAAAGGGGTAAGGTTTGGGAATATTGGGAGCTCTGCAAACATAAACACTACCAAGCTGCTTAATGAAAAATGCTCTGAAAGAAAAGCTGTGTGTACGGGGGCTCTGTGTGCGCGTGTGTCTGTCTGTGTGCGCGTGCGTGTAGGCGAAGGAGCAGATCTTTCCACTGAGTTCTTTCCCTCTTCCAGTCCCATTGCACTGCATCTCACTCCTTGGATAATAACATAGAATTTTTTTTTTTTTTTTTTTTTTTTTTGGTTGGGTGTTCTGGATTTTATCCTGCAGCTTTTAATTAGTCACTAGGGTAAGCTTGCCCTAAGAAAGCATTTCAGGTTAAGATTTTATTTGTTCTAACTGAAGGAAGAGTCAGCTCTGCTAACTCAGTCTTATTTTAAAGCCCAGTGTTAATAAACTCATATAGTCCTCCAATCTAGTTATCAGGTGTTTCATCCATTAATTAAGGAAGACAGGAAATTAAACATGGAAAAAATATATACAAATGTCTATGAAAATAATAATTGATATCAAATGGATAATAATAAAAAAATACTGTCTGCTGAATGCCTAACAACGTATAAAATTGCTCATCTTATGTGTAATATCTAGTGGTATTTACTGTTAGACTAAAAATAGAAAGGAGTGATAACTTAAATTTTACTTATTGTAGACCTTTTTGTCTACTTAATTATGCAAAAAATGTGTCTTACTCTTCCTCTTGGTTTTAGACTATTTCTTTTACACTAAATACCACGTAAATTAAATCTCTTTTCTTTTACATATCCTCTTCAAAATACAAACCGATGCATAAAAGAGTATATAGCTGAATAATGAGAGACAAAGTTTGGTGTCAGTGATGAGCTGAAGGCAAGATTGTTCCTGTACAATGAACAAGAATCTTAAAAATTAATGAATTCAGTACATGATGTTTTACTTGTATGCTGTATATCTTATCACTAGTTACATACATACAACTCAATGTGGCTTTTTTTGTGAGGAAAATATGCAACCTTCTGCTCACAAAGATGATTAAGAACTGACCTACAAATCACATCTCTTAGGTACTGTGTCTGCCAAGTCATACTAAACATAAATAGCCTTAAATTGTAGTCCATACAATCTGAATAAACACATTATATTTCATAATATAAGTTTTAGTTGGCAAAAATAAGCTACATTGTTATGGAGACAGACTATGAAATTAGCTTTTGAAGCAAGATCTCAAAGTGAGTGACTTTGAGTTAAATTCACATTTTCAGTTCTTTCTCGAGTACAGATTTATTTAAAAGAGCTTTGAAGCTATTTTGTGTCTAGAAAAGGTGGATGGAGTCACCCAAACCTTATTAATGACTATGAAACTTAATCTGAATAATTTTATGCTGTCTTAAAAAACACAAAACAAACAAAAAACCCCAAACTTTGGCGAAAAGAATTGGTGAACAATTCTAATGAATTAACTGTGGTCACATGCGGTGCTTACTTCAAGCAAATTCTAGTGAATAACTAATCAAAATGCAGCTCAGGTTTGTTGGGTTTTTTGTTTTGTTTTCTTGAGGTTTTGTTTTTGCTTGTTTTTTTTTCACTGTATGGCATTACCTGTTGCTGATCACTTGCATGGTTTGGTCAAAGGGAAATAAATTTTGGTCACGTACTTTGAATAAAAAATTGAAGAATAAATGCACACATGCATTCATCTGATTTCAGAATTGCTTCACTGGAAATCTGCCAGTATAAATTAATGGAAATAAGAGTAGAATACAGTCCCTTTAACTGGGTAGATATGATTAGTTATTTATAATAAAATAGTTTGAAATATTGCTGCTTCTGTCTGAAGTACACTGAAATTAAATGACATAAAATTTTATAGTTCCTTAAAATAATTGGAGCATCTAGGTAAAGAAACTAAAATGCCCTGTTATGCGGCTTATATCTGTATTAATCATAACCTTTCTTTTGACCCAGAAGATTCTGGAATCCAAAGGTCAAACAACAGCAGTTGCAAATACCATATTAAAATGTTCTTGCAAAGCAAAAAGTATCTTTGTTTTTAGGAGGTGTTTTTTTTCAGTTTAGGTGAAAATATTGTTTATGATAGAAATCAAAACACATACCTAACATAATACTTCTGCAATTCTGTCCATGTGGATTTTTATTCTTTTGCTGTTGTTCACTGGAAAAATGGTTTGTACTGACTCTTTCCTTAGAGTAACACTTATATTTCAGAGAATCTAGGGTAGCTGGAGGATTTCAATTTGTTTTCCTTTGCCTTAGGAAGGGAAAAAATTGCAACCACTGTAATCCACTGAGATTTTTTTTTTGTCATAATAAGTACAAATAATAATGTAATTATTTTAAAGGTACACCATACAAGCAATAAAGACAAAATTTAGCAAATGGCTTTCATTTTGTATGCCATACCTGTAATCATAAGAAAATAGTCAGAACTGAAACAAATAAAATATTTATAGTAAAATTATAATTTTATCCAAATTGCTTTCTAAACATTTGGCTTGATCTTCAGTGTGGGTATATTTTGTCTTGTCTGCTTTTCCAGCTACTATAAACAATAATTTTCCCTCAAGAACACTTGAATGTCAGTTTTGAGGAGGTCATCTAGGGAAATGATATTGAGGACAGTCTGTTTATTATAACTTCAGTCTGAATATGGGTTTATCTACAGTGGAAATGCTAGATTGAAGAGGAAACAGACTGTTAATCGGCTGTGCTTAATCCCTGGCCTTTATCATTTGAATCTGTGGATGCTGAAGGAGATTGCTAACTCATGTCGTATCTGTAGGAAAAAAAAATTAACAAAAAAACCCCAGAAAAGACCCTTAATTTGAATTTCTTTCATGATAAACTTCAAAACTCTATTAATAGCAATGCAACATAAAAAAACCCCAAAAAAACAAAACAACTTTGAAAAGTCTTTTGTTTGTTTGTTTGTTTCTTTAAAGCCTGCTCTGTTCAAATCAAAACAGAAAATAAAATCAAAATGATGACTTGTTGTTGTCTTTGCATGTTCAATAGTAAATGTATATACTTTACTTATTTGGTATATGGATAGAGGGTACATTTTGACACAAGCAGGTCACTACTCAACCACTATATATCTGTTAGGGACTAACTAATGAAGTATTTATCATCTTCCCAGGTTTGCTCACTAAAAATGCTCTTTGAGCTCATGTACCATTTACATTACAATAAATACAGCTGAAGTGACAAAAAAAAAGGTGGGAGGCTATGATACTTCTTAAGATTGAATGTGTAGGTTGTAATTTTTTCATTAGATTAGGGAAACAGAATATTGTCCAGGATTAGTGGTATATTTAACTGTGGACTATCAGGAGGAAAAAAGTCTTGGTCAAGAGCAAAGAGATCAGTAGTGTTCCTTCTTTGGGCAGTGATGTGAAGGAAAGGGACCTGCATCTTTAGACTCTGTGCCTATTTGATTAAGAAAGAAAGAAATTAAAAGCTTGAACAAAGCTGTTTGATAAAGAAGATGTGCCTTAAGTGATTTCTCTAGCTTGCATACTGTGACACTTTTTCATATTAGTAAAATGTCTGCTTAGTATACAGCTGAGTGTTTGCTGCCTTCCCTGTGTCACTGATGTTCATTTGCAGTGTGTGTTTAACTTGGAAAAAGTTTTTAATCAAAATTATACTGATACAACTTAATTGATAAAAAATTGGGGTTTCCCCCCCCTTTTTTTTGTGGGGATGGGGAGAAAAAGATAGTAGAAATGTGAGTCCCATCTTTACAATTAGTTGATGGCACGGAATTAAAAAAAAAAAAAAAAAAAAAGCTATTCAATGGC